TTTAAACACCTTTTTCTATCCCTTATTGCATCTCAGTGCTGCTGATCCTCCCCAGCCACTTTCAGCCGCTTCCTGTCCACATGCACTCACTCCAGTGTGGGCTGCGCATCATTGCTCTGGACCAATGTTCTATCGAAAGTTCCAAGTTGTCGACCTCTCCAACTGGTGACGGTGACTGTCAGGAGGAGATCTACAGCAGATGGTGCTAGTGGGTATGCCCAGGAAATCCTTGTCGAACTGTCTAACTCCGTGGCTATCCACTTCTATAACCCACTCTGTCCTAGGTTATAGAAGCCGATGAGCTGATAGCCGCACAGGCGCAGTGGCTATTGCTTCATCGGATTCTATAACCACGTCTATCCACTTCTATAACCTACTACAGTTATATTTGTCCTAGGTTATAGAAGCCGATGAGCTGATAGCCGCACAGGCGCAGTGGCTATTGCTTCATCGGATTCTATAACCACGTCTATCCACTTCTATAACCTACTACAGTTATATTTGTCCTAGGTTATAGAAGCCGATGAGCTGATAGCCGCACAGGCGCAGTGGCTATTGCTTCATCGGATTCTATAACCACGTCTATCCACTTCTATAACCTACTACAGTTATATTTGTCCTAGGTTATAGAAGCCGATGAGCTGGTAGCCGCACAGGCGCAGTGGCTATTGCCTCATCGGATTCTATGACCACGTCTATCCACTTCTATAACCTACTACAGTTATATTTGTCCTAGGTTATAGAAGCCGATGAGCTGGTAGCCGCACAGGCGCAGTGGCTATTGCTTCATCGGATTCTATGGCCACGTCTATCCACTTCTATAACCTACTACAGTTATATTTGTCCTAGGTTATAGAAGCCGATGAGCTGGTAGCCGCACAGGCGCAGTGGCTATTGCTTCATCGGATTCTATGGCCACGTCTATCCACTTCTATAACCTACTACAGTTATATTTGTCCTAGGTTATAGAAGCCGATGAGCCGATAGCCGCGCAGTGGCTATTACCTCATCGGATTCTATACCATAGTAAAAGGTTATATTATGTTACAGCGTGGCCACATGATTCTTTCTACAACCACAGTTGCCACTGCACCTGCACGGCTATCGGCTTCTATAACCTAGGACAAGTTTGAAGGCTGGCCGAAGGCTAGCCTGGTGGGGGGGGTGGCGGGGTATCACTTACTTGAGAAGGCTCGGACCACAAATATAAGTTTGTACTAGGTTGTAGAATCTGATGAGCCGCTAGCCGCGCAATGGCAACAGTTCGACAAGGATTTTCTGCCATGCGCACTAGCTCTATCTGCTGTACATCTCCTACTGGCAGTCACCGGATGTGACGTGTCCAGTTGGAGAGCTTGACAAGTCGGAACTTTCGATAGAACACCGGCTTCCTGACAGTAACAACAATAGTGGAATGTGTGTCAGCACAGCCGCTCGTAGTCTCCAGCAGAGACCCATGTGACGGGGTGACAAAGCAGGAGAGCAATGGGGAGAGACCTGTTACCCTGTAACAGGAAGTGCCTGAACAAGGACCATCATGACAGGATCACCAGATATTATTATATCTATGGTATTGTTATACCATCAAATGACCTGTTCATGCAATCAGCACTGAAATCCAGTTTTTAGCTTATAAAAGACTCTACAAACTTTGTCCAAGTTGTCTCATTAAATGAACATGGAAACGAGCAGAGATTAATATGTTTTGTAACAAAAATATTAAGAAAAGCACAGATATAAATATTTATTGTGCAAATGACGTTTGAATTAGCAGCCGATACACATCCAATACATACAAGCAATACAAGAAGAACATTTTGGTGTAAAAATACAAACAAATCATAGTTTAAGTGTATCTCTGGGGTTGAGCAGATCTGATTAATGCTCATAGATACAGTAGAGGGACGATATATACAAGTGGGGACAATGCAGACACATCACAGTGGATGCTGCAGTTCATGACTATTGGGGAAAAACATGTTGAAGGAGTAGGAGAAGGTTTAGTGGGAAGCAATGTATCACAGTTTGTCTTTGTGATTTTGCGCTGCTTACAATAAAGCTTATTGGATATCAAGAAGAAAAAAAAAAAAAACAGCGGAATTACATTTGTACTTTTGCACATTTGTGTTTGTTTGTATCTGGTTGCAGAAGGTGAAGCCAAATGAAGGGACTGAACTTCAGAGGATCTGTGGGGGGTGAATGTGTCTGGGTTTGCTTCGCTTGGACGTTTGCGGAACCCAAACATAAATCCGGCATCATTGATTGATCATCATTGATCATTGATATCCCACCTCAACCTAACCACTGAACCTTCACATTCTCACATAATTCATTCCCACAGCTACCACAGCTACCTCCTCATGTATCATTTCCCCCCTAGATTGTAAGCCCTCAGGGGCAGGGCCCTCCTTACCATCTTGTCTTGAATTGTATTGTAACTGTAATGTCTTCTTTATATTGTAAAGCGCTGCGCAAACTGTTGGCGCTATATAAATCCTGTATAATAATAATAATAATTGCTAGGACTCTAATCGCATCAATTCCCTAAGGAGTCCTCTGCTGTATATAAAACACTACGGATGAGCTTTGGGTTCAGGTTGACCATGAGTTGGCTAAGCTGTGGGGCCACCAGTGCCTTAGCAACCAATGATGCTGTGTGTGCCGCACAATGTCATGGGTTACTAGGACACAGATGGCCCTATAACGTCATTGGCTATTATAGTGCACCCGCCTGCATCCTAGCAACCAGTGATCAACAACTGCCATTGGTTGATGGGTACAGACGGAAGTTAATCAGACAGGCGAACTGGCCAAAGCGTTCACCCCTTCGTTGACATGTGAACAACTTAGGTTTGGGTTGAAATCATGGTTGACTTGATCCTAAAGCTCATTCCTACTGTTGAGTATTCACAGATTGCAACGCAGGGCTCCTTAGGAAATGTAAATTCAGATCTGATTACTGAGTGTTCGAATGTCAACACTTGATCAACACGGTGATTGTTTAATATACAAGTATTTCCCTGTCAGAGACCATCTGTTAGTGCGCATGCGCGGGGTCCCGTTTCTCATGCCATTGGAAAACGGGCACTTGCACGCATGTGCGCCCCACGGAACGGCCGCGAAAAAGCGCGTCAAACGGCGCACAGGAAGTGACACAGTGCTCTATGGATCACACTATATAAACCCAGCCTGCCTGTCTCCAAATTGCTGGATTGTCCCCTGTGTTCTTCTGCCTTGTATTGCCTGACTTCTGACCCGGATTGTCTGTGACCATTCTTGATTGCTGCCTGCCCTTGACCTCGGCTCGTTTACCGGACTTTACCTCTGCCTCATCCCTTCTGTACCTTGTTTGCCCGATTGGTGTGACCCTGGCTTGTTTACCGGACTTTACCTCTGCCTCATCCCTTCTGTACCTTGTCTGCCCGATTGGTGTGACCCTGGCTCGTTTGACCCTGGTTACAGATCCTGCTCTGCTCTTCACCCAGCCCCTGGACTCCAGCTTGCACGGTGTGATCACCACTGGCACCCGTGCCACTCGCTGTCTGCTTGGACTCTGTACCCATCCCCAGAGTCCTCGGGACACAAGGTGCAAGGGAGGCCTCCTCACGCATTCAGTCTCCAACCAGGTATGTGACATTCCCACTAATTCTACTTCCCAGATGTTAGAGAATCGTCTAGGAATGAGTGAATATTCTGGTGAACAATAACGTCCACTGGTCATTATAAACAATGTGATTGATTAGTCTGTAATCTATAGATCCTTTATAAATATTCCCCATTAAGGAAGCAGCAGCCACTTTTATATTCATTAGGGGTAAGGGTTGATGGGAAGAGCAATTGTTTGTCCATTGCTTTCCTCAAGTTGAAGTGTGCGGTCCAACCAAATAATAAGTAGAGTCTGATGATCTAAGCCACCTCCTGGCTTCCTATGCTGCAGCAACATACCCATATCATAGTTCATGAACAGTATGCAGTCTGATCCTAGAACATCTTACTACTGCTGTCTGCGTGACTAACTTCTCTTCACTTACTTTAAAGAGACCCTGTCAACCAACTTACAAAATGCAGATAAAAAGCACAGAAAAATCAAATATTTCTAATGCTTATTCTCAGTGTTTTTCCTTTCCATAAATGATTTCTTATTGACTTGCAATGTGCTTTTGAAGTTAGACTAATCTAGGATGAGTCAAATCCCTAGGCCAGCCCCCTCCCTCCTTCCACGTCATAGACCTCTCCTCTTGTGGGAGTATCTAATTACTGTCTGTGCCGACCTAGCCCCTATGCCCCTCCCTTCATCTCCCTGCCAGAGAAGAAGAGAAAGGGAATAATATAGAGTGTCACTCTGAGTCAACTGGGGCTGCTGACATCACATCCAAGATGGCCGCACCCAGCAGCAGTCTCAGGGCTTTTGATTTTGTAAACTGTAAGAAAATGTGCACCAAGCCATGGATAGGTATTCAGAGGAGGGAGTTGCTAGAAGCACTAAGGGGGACTGGAAGAAGCAAAAGGTGGTATGAGCTCAGCCAATGTAGTTCCAGAAGGTGAAGAGTGTTTAGGAAATTTAAATCGGTGGGAATGCCAAAGATGACATCACCACACCTGATGATGACATCACCATAACTGTTGTCTGTAACGTGCAGTCAAATTAACACATAGGCAACCATGGCGCTGTTCCGAGATTTTCCTACTGGTTGGGGGCGGGGAGGACCAAGAACAGAAGAGCGACTGGATGGAAAACAAAAGCCAAACCCATAATGTACATTGGAGGTTCATCATCAGTCCTGCCTGGGGTCTACTTCTGCACTTTTTTGATTATGATTTATGATGATTTTTGATTATTGAGATGGGTGGTACTTGTAAGAAGCACATTCACACACTTTACAAGTCAGCATTATGGCGGCGTATGAAATAAATACAAAGCAAATAAAATAATATAAAATATAAAATGCCGGAAGCTGGGTACTGAGAGCATTATGTGTGGTTGTTATATACGTAAAGCGTCATTTCCTCTCCGCCTCCTGTAGGCGTCGGGTCAGGTCATCTATCCGGACGTTCTTTAGGTGGACGAGCTGTTCCATCCGCCGTAGTTTTGCCTGCAAAATCTGAAATACATTCCGGTTTATTTATTCAGCCAAAGAGCCATCTGCAAAATGGGGCGACAACCCATAGCAACCGATCAGCATTTAACGCCAACTCACATTTTCTTCAGGAAGAGAACTGTAGAAGGAAGTATGTGCAGGGGATGATGAAAGAAGGTTCTTTGTAGGTAAGGACACAGGAAATGATCATTGGTCTGTGGGAGTAAACAATGCCCCAAGCTCGGTGGTCAGTTATGGTGTCAGTGGAAGGAAAAGTGCCCCATCATTGGTGTCAGTGGAAGGAAAAGTGCCCCATCGTTGGTGTCAGTGGGAGGAATAGTGCCCCATCGTTGGTGTCAGTGGGAGGAATAGTGCCCCATCATTGGTGTCAGTGGGGGGAATAGTGCCCCATCATTGGTGTCAGTGGGAGGAATAATGCCCCATCATTGCTGTCAGTGGAAGGAATAGTCCCCATCATTGGTGTCAGTGGAAGGAATAGAGCCCCATCATTGGTGTCAGTGGAAGGAATAGTGCCCCATCATTGGTGTCAGTGGGAGGAATAGTGCCCCATCATTGGTGTCAGTGGGAGGAATAGTGTCCCAAGGGCCAGTTAAAAGCAAACAAAGGATCGCATCCAGCCCATGGGCCGCAGTTTGGGGAACACTAGTGCCACTTACAGTATACAGACCATTACCTTCCCACATAACTGAGCACTACACCCTCCCCTACATCATAATCCATTGACAGACACAGACGCTTTGGATTAGGTGACCGAAGATATCTCGATGGGAATACTCTGCGTGTTCTGTAGGCTGCATATAGAACCATGATTCATTTGATCTAACCAGTCCTGTATAACACATTTCCCATTGTGCACTGCACTGTACTTTCCTCCTTTAAACTTCAAACTGCATTCTTTTTGTTTTGTGCACGCCTTACGCCTTTTAAAACTCAAACCTTTTGTAGAAGGAAAGCAGCTCTACATATAAAGCAGATTGTAAATTGCCTCTAATAGCTTCTAATAGCTTCTGGGTTGGATAAAAGTAGAAAGAGGTGAAGGAAGGGAGATAAGGGACCATGGTGTGAAAATAAATCTGATACAAAATTGTGCCGGCCAGAATACGCTTTTAATGTGAATTGATGAAAGCGGAATAATCACATGGCACCAGGAGTAAAGCTTCAACATGTGGAAAGGAGATGATATTCATGTGTTTCGAGGCCATCATGATGTCCTGGGGATTATTCTTATGTGTACTGCCATATAGAAAGCAGGTACCCCT